GGGCTCAGCGAAGCCAGCTCTTGAAAGGACAGCAGCGTCACGCCAAGTGCCACCAGCTCAGCGTGGGGACGTGAGTCAAGAAACCCCTTCACCTTTCTAATTTTTGCAGTTTTGCTCTAGGAGCAGGCCAACGCCCCACAGAAGAAAGAAAGGCATCATTTCGGCAGTGCGGTGTATTTATATTTCCACGTCACACCGCCCTGCTCTCCCCTGAGCTGGCTCCAGCATTGCCCAAAGCTCCCCTGTGCAAAAAACAAACCACCAGGTTTTCTCCTCGGACTACACACGTACTTCGCCTTGCTCCCAGGCACGACCTCTGATTTGAAAGTCCAGTCAGGTAAACTTCCACACACACAGACGGCTGTAGGCGGTCTCCTGCCCCCAAGGCACACGCTCTAATTAAAACAGACAACGAGGACTCAGTCAAACATATTTTTTTAAAGCTGTCGGAGTCCAACGGAAACAAGACCAACCCTAAAACCCAGTTAATAATAATTTTCCTTGTGGAGTGGGAGTGTTTTCTCGGCGAGGCATAAAGCCCCTCATTCAGTCCCGGCGCGTGCGTACGGAGCCGTCGCACAACCGGCCCCGGTGTCGTGGCTGGGACACGCCGTGGCTCAGCGCGGCCGCGCTCCGGGCGTGCAGCAACGCTGTCACCCGGGCAGCTCACACGCCGAGGGGTAAACCAGGCTCACTGGGCTGGTGGGAAGCCCACAGGGGCTGACCGGGTCCTCCAGCGTGGGCTTCGCAGGCTTCTGGAAAGGGGAAGAGGCGGCGAGGGACAAAGCCTGGCACAGCCTCACGCTTGGCGGACACGAACGCGAGCCAGAGCGGTTACTGCAGCCTTCCAGACCACAGGGGGAGTTTCGGGATTGCTGGAGCATATCAGAAAAGCAAATTAAGGTGGTACAGATCTTTGTCCACAAAGGGAAAAATTCTGTTTTTCACACTCCTAAACTCACTGGCGTCCCCGACAAAGAAAATGGGACCTGTTAAAAGAGCCACAAGCATTAAGTGAACACGAGGAGGAACTTCTTCCCTCTGAGGGTGACGGAGCCCTGGCCCAGGCTGCCCAGGGAGGTTGTGGAGTCTCCTTCTCTGGAGATATTCCAGCCCCGCCTGGCCGCGGTGCTGTGCAGCCTGCTTTGGGTGACCCTGCTTGGGCAGGGGGCTGGGCTGGGTGACCCACAGAGGTCCCTTCCAAGCCCGAACATTCTGTGATTCTGTTAGACTGCCTTATACTCACAGTGCTGTAGGCGGGGAAGGTTGCTCTGCGTTAGGCTAGCTGCGGGAGCCAGCAAGCTGCTCTGTAAACGAGCCCTGCTGCAAACGATTACGCTCACATTCAGCCTCCGCGTTCTGAGCAGCGGTCGGGTCACCGACAGCAGCAGGCAGCGGCTGTTCCGAGGCGAGCCCAGCTCGCGTGCCAAACCTCAG